CAAAACCCAGATCAGTAAAATACCTGTTTTGAGCTGCGTAAGAGAGCATTTTGTCGATTTATACTAATGCATATTTCATTAGTTACCTACTATTTTACATGTAAATAAATCATTATTTGTAACTATTTAAAATAAATGTATTAAACTGTATTACTGTTCCAATCTTCTTCATAATTCAACTTAACCGCGCCCGCCTTCATATACATTCATAAGTACAATAAAATATGTACGCTGAAGACATCTTGATGTGTTTCAATCATCTGGTTGCATACACTGTCAAAGTGGTTTAAAATGCGCGCCAATTTCGACAGTCAGCTGAGGCGGGCTACGGTTAAATTTCGCGCTCGCGCAATGCGAGGTTCGGGGAGAATTTTAGTGTCGTCTGTCACCACATCCTGACCAGTTTATGGGTTTTTTAATGGTGTCGACAACTAAATAGCAACATTGGCGGAACCGTGAAATTTTTATTATATTGGGTAAAAGTTGCGTAAACTTAGCATTGACATTTTCCTCTTGCAAGTGTGCACCAGAACGGATTTGTCAGAAATTAAAGTTTCGGTTTATTCAGTGGTTTTTATGAAAAGTTAACTCTAAATAGAAGCAAAAAGTTGGTCGAATTATGTGAAGCCAGAAAAACGGGACAAAAAGCCGATGAGCACTAAGGAAGTTTAATATTGAAAATGGTTTTCCGCGTCAAATTTTACCCACTCTGTGATTTTTTTAAATTTGTGCAGAAAAACATCCAGAAAAATGAGGCAGCGAAACGAAATCAATCAGACAGTAAACCAGAATGTATAAAATTGTGTAAAAATCGAGACCGCTGGAAATAAATATCAAGGATATTTAAACGCGCCAAATGTACATTCAAAAACGGATTTATTTGCAGCGGTCAAATTTCGATTTTTATATAATTTATACGCGTAACCGGTAAATTATTTTATTTTGTGCTAACAAAGAGCAAACAAGTTCAGACTTGAATGTATTTTTATTGCATTTGAAACTATAATAGTGCCGTAAGTGAACCTCAAAGAATCAAGATCCTTATTTTTATCGCTTATAAAAATAGAACTCGGACACAAGAAGTGGGTGAATTATTAAACGATCAGCAACTTAATCGGTTTATACCAGACGAGATCAACGATCACTAAGATAAAGAGGAAATTTGGGAGTTTGGATCACGTAAAAGATCAGAGTGTCCGGCAGTCTCAAAAGAAAAACCATTGAAACGTTTATTAGCGAAGAAAGAAGCCAAAAAATTAAGTCAATCATACGTTGCAAAATCCCTAAACCACAACAAATGAAATCCATACAAAGTTCATTTGGTGCTTAGTTCACTTAATGGAGATGATTTCGGCTGGAGCGTTGACTTTTAATGAAGATTTTAGATCCAGGAGCAATTTTCTTTTGAGAAAAGCATCTTTCCGTTTAAAAAATTCTTTCAATGCAACGCACAACCACTGTATAAATTGGGCACCAGAACATCAACACTGGATGTCTATTCAATCATCGGTCCGTTTATTTTAATTAAAGACGCTCCAAAAAAAATTAATACAGCGAATTGCTAGACTGCATCAAAAATTTTGTTCGAAGCAAATTGTTTGGGAGCAGAGGAGAGGAGCCATAGAATTTCCCGATCTAGCTCCACTGGATTTTTTTGTACGACCAACATATATTTTTTTAAAGAAAACTTTAAAAACTAAAACATTAAAAGCAACGTTTCTCTGCTTGCCAACTACAAAAATGTTTTTTGTTTCATTTGTATAGAATTTGTGACCTGTGCGTACACCTTGTATAAAAATGTATGTTTTTCCAAAAAAAATTTCCATCTGAGAATTGTTTGCACAAGACTACACAGTGTCTTCCCGGCGAAGTTGCGATGCAAAAAAACTATTTTTAGACCAAACATTCACTCGACTATTTAAAAACAGCTTGAAACCATCTTTTACAGTCTTAAGAAGAAATTTTGCCAAAATTCTATACAAATAATGAGTTCGAGAAACTATCGAATCGGTACAAATATCACCTGCACGAACAAAGCACACGCACTCGCGATTACTGAAAAGAAATGCGGAAGAATGGATGATGGAAAATGTACAGCCGGCAAAACTTCAGAGCAATCCAAGCATTAGTGCGAAAAGCAAAGAAGGGCCGTAATGCGAATTTTTTCGCGCTGATGACATAGAAAACCGCACATTTAAAACGCAAATAATTCTGCAAAAAGTATTACACGCGGAAAAGTATTACACATTACGGAAATACGCAAAGTGCTGCGAATGATGAAGAATTTTGCAAGGTTTGATGACTGGAGCGTTCTGCCCACGTCTCCGGACATATAAAAAGTGCTGTGTTAAAAAAAAACACTTTTTACAGGCGAAGAAACGAAAGAAACTAAATTAAAACATGCTCAAAACAGTAGGTAAGCGACTAACTTAGAGCGCTGATTGTTAATGTTTAAAAATTTCCATATAACTCTGTTAAAGGAGATTTGGGCGTTTGATTTGTAAATTACAATAATGCTTTTATATGGTTTCTTAATTTTTTCATGATTTTTTTCTCTAATGTCTACATTATCGCGAAAGGAAACATACAGATTAAGGAAAGAAATTGAAAATTCATCAGCAACACAAGCGAAGTAACAGCAACGTAAATGTGTGAGGAATTGTGAAAAATCCGAGCGGTGATTCCACATGAAAATTGAATGTCTCAAGTTCAGCTTTTACCAACAGGCGGATTCCACTTTGAAAATTTGTAAAGAAACTAAACTGCTGAAAAAAAGTTCACTTTAGAATTTGCATAATTTTTTATTCCTGCAAGCGATTTCAACTCGGTTTGAAGCTTCATCTAGTTAAATTCTTTTTCAAATCAGAAAGTGTTTTTGTAAAAACTAAGTTCTTCAGATGAAGGTTCCACAGAGTGAAGAATAAAACAATACAAAATTGGTGATAATTTGGCATGCTTTCAGTTGAAATAAAAACGTGTTTTTTCGGATTTTAACAGCAAAGGCATAAATATATATAACAGTTTTGGAATTTTTCACATATTTTATTTACTTATAGGGCGGTCAAAAAAGATATTTTTGGTATTGTAGTGCTAAAGTTTTTCCTTCCATCTTAGGAATCTAGAGCTAGAAGTTCACAGTAAACTTGAGACAAACATTCAATATACCGAGATGTATGATTGAATTGAACGGTAAACGCTAATTTTTTCCGCTTTTTAAAGCTTTTTCCTCACACCAATGGCGATTGTTGACCATTGATACTGAACAATCTTTGCAGGAAATAAGCCAAATTTCAAAACAAGCAGTGAAAATTGGACTGAGATTGTGGAAATCTGCTCTATAAACTTGAAACGTGAATTTTTCACGTAGAATCACCCCCAAGAATACATTACTCTCACTTATGAAATCCAATAACAAATATAAACAATCACAATCCCCCCTAATTATTTATTGATCACCACATTGGTCTCGGCTGGGCATTTTTTTCTGTTGCGGTCATGATACTCCAATTCGACCAAGCAAGGTTACGAAACAAAACACAGGATTAATCGACAGAGAGTAATAACAATAATCGGCGATTATTCAATGGCAAAATGTCACAAAAAAAATCATATTATTATACAAGTTACATAAGGCCTGAATTGTGCAAGTTTGCCATAAGGAAAAGGTATCAACCGGATTCAAGCGTTAATTGAGTTATTGAAGTGAAGGGGTGCGTGAAGCTGATCATAAAAGTGGCTAGTTTCCTTCTGCTGCAACAAGATTTTCTGCGGAACTTTATATGCCGCATTTTTTTCAGATTCTAGCAATATTTTTAAAGCTATTTGGAATTAAAATACTTACTCGTCCAATTCTTCATCAGACATGGCGGTGGAAAAGTTGAACACGTCCGTGAGAACTATTTTGGCGGCTTTTGTTTTTCTGTTAAAGATGGAAAACTTCACTTATCTATAACATAGAACGATTAGTTAGCAACAATCAAGTGACGCACAAATTACGATTATTCTACTATATTTGCTCGCCCTGTATGAGAAAGAACGCGGCAGAAAAGCTCTAAAAACTATTTTCAACTGAAAACTGGCGTTTATATAACAAGTTTCAAAAACCAACTTTTTAGCAATAGAAGTTAAATTGGAGTTGGGAAGACACAAATCCGCACAGTCTGCCATTATTTAGCTTCAAAATTACAAAGTTTCAAGAAGTCTTCATTTTTACATGCTTCTTAATATATAAGTCCACTATTGTTTCTATTTAAAATGTTTTGAACTTTTGCAATTTCCAACAAGAACAGTGTGAAAACTTTCTGGATGTTTTGGCTTAATAGTAATGAGAACCTGAAGGAAGATTGTCAATAGAACGAGCCTAATTTTCAGGGCTCCTAAACCCCTTAATTATACACATTTTTTTAATAAAAAAAGCAACAAATTTTTCCCAAAATAAATTATATTCGTTTTGGTAAGTACTTGTTTAGGTCTCAATTATCTATTTTACATCAGTTACTGTGGGGAAGTGGAAAAAGCAAAAACGAGAAAAAATTAAAGAGGGTAATGGTGACTAATGAATCAATATTCGAATTTGATTTTTATATTTTTTTATGGTTCTTGACGTTTCGCTAACCGGCATTGCTAACATCTTCAGAGTTGTAGTAATTTCTACTCTTCGTACTCTGATTCGATCATCAACGAACCAAATGAACCGATTTTCCATTCAGGAACGTAGCTGGCATCGGTAGTTTCACTCGCACCCATGCCAGCTTATCAGAGAAGAAAGATGGCCTGCGCAAGAACAGTTGTTCCTATGTTCCAGCTTGATACCTTCACCGCTAAAAATAACTCAGTTTCGAGCTAAGCAAAGTATTGTTTTTTTTTGGTTTGAGTGAGAAAAAATAAACTTTTGCAGTCTTTTTTTGAAGTTGAATTTGAGAAATAAAAATTTTCTCGGATAAAATAAATAATATAATATATGATAATAATGAATTATTTGAAAACCGTTAGAACATCACTAATAAGGAAGAAAGTATTTGACCAAAAGTCCAGAAAGTAATTGCAAATCCAGAAACGTATTATATACAGGGTGTCTCTTTTGAAATAACAAAGTTTCAATCCAGCAAATCATCCGTGTTTCCTGGACAGAACATTTAGTGTACAAAATTTGTGAAGAATCATAAAGAATATGCAAATGATCGTTTCATATTTTCATTATTAAAACATTATAAAAATAATCGCATAATGGAAAATGTATTAATTCTGTCAAATACATAGTGTGACTATCGTTTGATAGTCCTTAAGCCACTTAATCGCTAACTAAAATGCTTAGTCGTATGAGTAAATATTGAGCTTGTGCATTGATTTTGCTGCCTAATGCCATTATTAAGCATTTTTCGTTGAATGTGTATAAGTTTTCCGGGTTTTCTAAGTAATATCAAACACACAAGTTCAGTTGAATGTGCGGAGAAAATGGGATTGAATACGAAGAGCGCTCACTTTCAATCGGTTGCAATAGACGTACATTACAATGAGAAAATCGGTTGATTTGAATAGATATTGACACTTTTCTCCACTTTTTTACTTTATTTTAATGGAAAAACAGATCTCTGAATTGGTTTGCGTTCCAACGTCTAAATCAATAGTGAAGCAGCAAAGAACGACAAAAACAAAAAACTCAAATGGAGCCAAATATTAACACCCACCATAAACGTGTTTAGATAGTTTTTTTATGTTCTAGAAATGGTTTTGTTATTATTTTCCTTGCATATTTAGGCACGTGCCTACGAAATTAAATTTCCTAGTTGTTAGTGGAACCCCTTAATCGATTTTGCAAAATACCTAAATAATTCAAGCACTTGATAGATTAAATCCTGTGATAATCAAATGGAGTAATAGAGTCTCCTAAGACTAAAATGGGGGCTTGAACTGCAAGTAACTTGCGCTGGATGGCACAAGAGCAATGGAGGTATTTTCCCGAAATGTAAATCGATGGCTAAACATTACCTGAAGAGTGAGTTTCTCGAGCTGGAAAATCAGCAGGACACACCCAAAACACACAGAAAGAAACTGGAGTATGGGAAAATCAGCAGCAGCTATTTGTTGCAGAACAAGAGGGGCGCAATCGACTATCCCTTAACAATCTGCGTGGAGGGAGCTTTTTGTGGAAACGGTCACTGGGAGTTGATGCAAGGCCTCCAAAGTCCTCGAGCATGGATTTTGAATGTTTCCAAAACCAATTAGATTTTCCATTTTTCTCCATCAGAAGGAAATTGGCTGATAAAACGGTACCCACATCGCACCAGCTGCTAACATTACCAAAAGAATTGCCTTGATTGCATTGTTTAGTAACTGAATCGAGGAATTGGAAAAAAAATGCAGCAATTCGACCTTTGTAATGGAAAATCGTTACGTGGAAAGCCTGTTGTTTGAGGTGGGCTTTAAAAGGCCATCAAAGCCGCCCTGTGCGTCTTGCTGCTCTCCTGCTCGAAAATCTCGCTCCCGCCATTCCTCTGGATAGCAACAGGACACAAGGGAGGGATGAAAATGAAATATTCCCGTAAAATTCACTTCTTGGCCTTGGAAGCATATCATCGCATTTGCCAGGCTGTACCAGCTTAGCTTTAAAAACGTGTTTTGCATTTATTTTTCAACAAATTTTACTCCCATTTTTATAGAATTAGTGGAAGCCTGCAGCAACTGATTAAATCCTCTCTCGGTGCCATTAACGGTTCTTTTGGGTTCGACGATCATTTTACTTTTTCTGCGAAGCAATCGCGACATTCAAACAATGCAGTTGCTTAATTGCTGTACATTGTACAAGTTACATCGACCTTTTAATGCCGCTAATTAAGGATAAGAGCTTAAATTGCCGTAAAATTGACCTTTATCCCGCTAAAACAGGTCAATTTTCTTCATTGACTAAAGTTTCAGCACTCTTTCAGTCGCAATAACTGGTCTATGGTTCAATTATTCATGAAACTGAAGGATTATTATGCGGTGAACACTTAACAAGTTGGTGTAGTTGATAACTTTAACAGAATGGAACAAATAAATAGGATAAAAATTGAGATTGACTTATTTTCAGTCAAAAATGACGGCAAATAGTGTTTGACAGTTTTGAGTGGCATCGTTGACATTTAACAACGAAGACTGTCAAACAATTAGCAAATTCTGTAGAGCTCGTCTTGGAAGTGACACAACCCGAAATGAGTACTTTTACTGAATTTTCTGATTGTTTGATTGACTTCCTGACGGACGAATGACTTCTGACTTTTGACTTTGACGGCTTTTGTGTCAATTATTAACGCTTCCGCTCAAAATTGTCAAACATTTATCAGCTTGGCCAGAAAACGTAGTTGATAAACTCACCTGAATTGAACAATTACAGACAATAAAAATTGAGATTGACGGATTTTCAATCACAAATAACAGTAAATGATTGTCAAACTGGTATTTGGCAATTTTGAGTGACTTTGTTGACGTTTAACAAAGAAAACTGTCCAAAAATTAGGAAATGTTGTAAAACCCATCTTAGAAATTATTTGCAAATGACACAACCAAAAAACCGATAGTTTTACTGAAATTCCTCATTGTTTGACAGATTTTTGTCTCAATTATTAACACTGTCACTCGAAAATCTCCAGTTGCACCATTTCACCCCTAAAGTATTAAGGCGTCTTAGTCGTGATAAATGTGTTCAACCAAAGAGAATTTTATGTAAAAAAATGACAAAAACGTCAAACACAGTGACGCAATTTGACTTAAATTTGCTTGAATTGCTAAAAAAGTTAAATTTCAGAATGGAAAAATAACAAAATCTAACAAGTTTTAGTAAAGTTAACTTTAGTTAGAACTAGTTAAAGCCGCTGTGGAAGTAGTTCGGATCCTTAAGTGCTTCCAATTATACATACAGAGTGTTGCAGCAATAAGCAATCACAAATTGTGACATTTTAACGTGTTTTTTCAAAGACAGATCGCGGAATTCATTGGTGGATAATGAATTGAAAGCTTCAAAATTTTTAAAAATTAAAAAATAGTTAATAAGAAAATTTCAATAGTATAATTTGCCACAATTAATTTTTTTGGTACACCTAATTTCTGCTTTTTTAAGGGTACCATTGCGCAGCGTGTTTTTGAAAACATATAGTTTTTAATTCTAAATATCTAAAAAACAGCTGCTGTGAAAAAAGCACAATTAGTCTACGTTTTTTTTTCAAATTTTCCATTGAAAATATTTAGTGACATCGCAACTCCTTATACAGTGATAAAAAATTTACCAAATTTCTTTCTCCTGATGCAGCTGCAGACAAGTTTTAAAATTCATAATTTTCATCTTAAGATACATCCTGAGAAAATTAAAAGAATTAACGGATGATAATTCTTAAACAGTTTGTAGACATACAGAGTGGCTCAAAAAATGGGCGCAAGTCAAGTATGCAGTAATGTATTTCTGAACCTGTAGGATTTCAATCTAAATATCAAAATTGAATCCCTTGGCCACTTTAATCTGTGACCAAAATGCAAACAATCCGGAAAAGTTACCCACGGTTTTGAAAAAGATGATCTTTTTAATATTTTCAAATCTACATGTTTTGTATCTAAATTACATAAATCTCAAAAACGGCTGAGCGGTAATGAGAAAGAGCATCTTTTTACTTACGCAATACATTTAGTGACCATGGGAGTCTTTATACAGGGTGACACAAAAAAATTGAGCAATTTACTGGAGCACGTTTTGCTGCAGGTGGATAGAGATCACAACTTTTTCTCACTGACCCAAACCTCACCAACTTTTGCCCAACTGCTTCTTAAAAATATGTTAAATTGCAGCATGGATGCAGATTTTCATGTCAATAGTGCTGCATACAGGGTGCGCCAAGACCACTGGCAATTAAGTGAGTTTGAGTGAAAATGCTGCTTCAATCTCAGTCTACCGGGCATTTAGCTCTGTAACTTTCAATATCTGAAAAACCGCTGCACTAAGAGGCAACGATCAAGAGAGCTTTTTTATGTAGACTTATCAGCAAAATCCAAGTAAAGTCACCCAAAGTCTTCACATAGGCAAACAGAAAAGTTAGTGCCATTTTCTAGAGCAATTAGGTGTGTAGGATGCAAAACTTGCTTTTACTCCGGATAAATTATCTTAATAAAATGTTTCTTCTTTTTTTACAAACTTCTTGTTGGGTATTTCGCCTCAAAAATGTTTGTCTTTAAAAAAGACAGAATTTCCTCACGTCTTCTAGTACAGATTGATAAATAGTGCTCCTATTTCGCAATAAGAACGAATTATTTATCAAAAAGTAATCAAGAACTATCACCTAGAGGGTATCCTGCG